TTTATATAGATATTTTTTTTCTTTGGAGGAGATGCATAAAGTTTACACTTTTAAAATTTTAAAGTGTATTCTTAAACTTATGATAAACTTTTATATAAATTTTACTAAGATTTTACATAGTTCGCCAGGAGATGCAGGTGTGGTGCTGGAAACTCATGCTGACCTGAAAACGTATTTCAACCATTTAAATATCTAATATTAGTCTCGAGCAAATATAGAAATATTTGGAAATCTTAAAAAATGGACGATCTAGATAAAATATGTTACAAGAACTATTTTTAGGACCTAGAGTTTTTCCTACTCACATATCTCGTCTCGAGGTTGAGATGGTAACTTAGAGGAAAATCCTGTTCAAAACAACCTTTTCCAAAACCACCCGTTAGTTTTATAGTATAAGTTCAACATCTCATGTGAATTTTTTCTTTTATCAAAATATAGAAAAGTATATAAAGAGACTATTTGTTTTTTATATAAAGAGGTCATAATCATCCTCGTCCATTAAATTTCAAATTGGATGATTGTGAGTATCATTAATTAGATTTAAAATTCAAAAAAAAATATTTCAAATTTTATAAGAGATCCAAACCATCTAATTTAACATCTAATTACTACAGAAAATTATCCGTTCTAACAAAGGTATAGTCTCAAAGTACATAATCCGTTAAAATACTTAGTTTCAGGTATCCATTAAAATACTTAGTTCCAGGTTTGGAACTCCAAATAATGGTCATGCTTGAATCACTTGGCATGTAGAACGCCTTCTTGTACTAAGTTTCAAAACTAGCAGGGAATGTGAATTACTTGGGTCGTTAACTCCAGCCGGGTAAACTAAGATGCCCTCGGTCGTTTGTGTTTTCAAAAGTTACAAAAAAAAAAATAGAAAAAATAAAGTTAAATGGAGTGGAAAATGATTAATGCAATAGAAGTCATATATCCATCATAAAACAAAATCTCTTTCTAAATTAGCCATTATGAGCATTTACACAAGAACACGAACTCGATATAATACATAAGATAGGACTCATCAATTCATCACTATCATGAAAACTTTTTTCTAATTATTTGGGATTTGATATACGAAATTTTGTCTAATTATTTGGGATTTGATATACGAAATTTTGTCTGTCATTCTAGTCTATCAACATTCTAGCCTATCAAGGACCATATTTTCAATAAAACTATAAATCTTCATATTTTTTCTCACTATTTTCAACTATGCCTTTTTGAGCCTACCTTTTATCTGTTTTCAGCCTTCAACTTGAACCAACTTGCACCTTCTAATAAGTATGGTACTGGGTTTGCTACACATGGCCAACCCACCTAAATTTATTTTCTCTCCTCTAATCACATATTGAAGCCATACCTATGTTCTCTTTAATGTATCCATTACGAATACTATCACTTCTTGTTTTGCCACTCATCCGTCTCAACATCCTCAACTCAACTATACTTATCTAATAGGTATGTTGTTTCTTGACTGTCATACATTCCTCCTCATTGAGCAAAGCTGGTCTCATAACTGCCCAATGTGGTGTCATCAATTAGTTATGCTTATTCGCCATTTATATCTAATTTCTTGCATTAACCTTCTATGACTACCATCTATTAGTACAATGTACCTAAAATATAAATTCTTATTCTAATACCAATGTTGGTTTTTGTGCTGATTGGACGAACTAAAATACTGCGGTAGAGTATGTCATTATCAGTCATACTACTATTAGATTTAGGTGGACATGTAGTAGATCAATTTAAATCTGTGTCAGAACAAGCAACCGTACTATTTTTTAATAAAGATATTTCTTTAAAGAGAGTTAAAAAATGACACTCTCATAGGCATACTAAGAAAAGTAGGACTCAATCCATTTTGTCACTGTTACTTTCATATCCAAATATTACATTAGTACGCGATTTGTCACACATAAGGATGCAAAATTATCACTTTAGTGAAATGACAATTATGCAATAATTATATTATTATATTATTTATAGTAAATTGATATAGTAACAATATAATTTCTAATTATTATTTATTATAGTATTATATTTTTTTAATCTTATGTTATTGAAATTCATGTATCATTTTATATTGGAAGAAGTTTATATAGATCCAAGGGTCTAAACAATCAAATTGGAGCCTTCCTAAAAAATTTCACTAGAATAGGTTGTTTGGATGCCCAAATATCCTTAAAATTGATTATCTCCATATCAAGAAGTATGGACCTAAGAAAAAAATGGATTTCAAGTTTTGGAAATAGTGCATCTAGTATCATATTTTTGGACTGCCAATTTTCAAGATTTTTAAGTTTTTTTAGATCTGCTCGATCTACACTAATTTTGAAGCTTCAAATTTTATAATTAAATATGAAAATATATTTTAAGGCTATCACAAAGATTTTCAATAATGAAACAATATTTCTCGACATTAGTTGAAGGTAGGTTTGAATTTGATTGTTTAGAGCTTCGGCTCCATACAAACCGCACCCTATATATTTTATTCCTCATTATAATTTACAAAAATACCATTGTAATTTAATCTAATTATAATAATGTAATTAATACAATAATTATAGTTATATAATTACAAGTTTAAAAAATAATATAATTATCCTATGACCAATCTTTAATGGGTGCGGTTTGTATAGATCCTAGGCTCTAAACAATCCAATTAAAGCCTACCTTCAAATAGTTCCAAGGATGTGGTTTCAATACTGAAAATCTTTTTGATAGCCCTAAAATATATTTTTATATTTATTTATAAAGTTTGAAGCTTAAAAATAGTGTAAATCGAGAGATTTGTGAAAACTTGAACATCTTTAAAATTGACGATCCAAAAATGCGTTACAAAATACACTATTTTCAAAACTTGAAATCCATTTTTTTCTCATGTCTATGCATCTTGATGTCGAGATGATCAATTTGAGGATATTTGAGCAGATGTATGTCGAGATGATCAATTTGAAGATATTTGGGCATCAAAACAACCTCTCCTAGTGAAAGTTTTGAGTTAGGCTTAAATTTGATTGTTTAGAGCCTCGGCTCTATATAAAGTTTTCCCATCTTTAATAACTTATAGTTCATTTGCAAGTGCGCCCCCCACATGTCTCAATATATAATTAAAATATATTATAAGGATTGGACTTATGAGTCCGCCGACTCATTTACGCTCGTACATTCTACTTCTAAGGTCCATCTTATAGATGGATTTTATACCCAAATATTTAAACATCTGGGATCCAGACGATGATGATCTTGAATATCTTTATGAATTGCAATTTAAAGATAGTTTGATTAATTTTATATGCAAAAACAAGGAATCATATATTAATGTTCGAATTAGGTTGTTTAACCATAGGGGATTGTTGTGGACGCCTCCAGCACCTTTTTCTCTCAGCTTAAAATCGCATCTATTGAATTCGAGAAAGAACTCCACCCAATGAATTCTCTGCATAAATTGTGAGTAATCCAAGTTTGTTTCATCAGTTAATATTTCGAAAATGAGCAAATTTATACAAGGTGCCAATCCAATACCATTTAAGGAAAGGTGCACTTCAAAAATTCTCTAGTAGAGTGTGTGGATGTTGGAGTACCCTCCAATCGATCATCTTGATCTCAAGTCTTGAAAATTGTGGTATGCGTAAAAAAGTTATATGAACTGTACCATTTTTGTAATTCTAAATTTCGTAATTATGGATAAATATATCTCAATCCATCTTAAAGTTCCGAATACCAGAATAACATCTCCAGGTAAAATTTTAGTTTTTCATCTAGATAATGTATTCAAGATACACTACTTTTATAAGGTGCCAACCTTAGGCAATCAAAGTAAAGCCCACCTTCAAATCTTGCCAAAAAGGTCACAAAAGCCCTTATTATTTTCTAGTATTAAATTTTAAGCCCAAAAAATAGTACACATCTAATAGATATATAAGTACTTCCATATTTTAAAAATAGATAATATCTAGATAATGTGTTCACAATACACTATTTTTAAAACTCGAAATCCCTTTTTTTCATATCTATACGTCTCATGATCAAGATGATCAATTGGATGCTTTTTTTATCACTTCTACATTATGAGGAGTTGCACATGGGCGTATTTAATACTTCAGCGGGTCATAAAATAACTACCCAAAAAAAAGTGGGTCTTAAATAGTGCCTATTTTGCGTCTCGAATGGTTAAACTTTTTCGGTAACTTTGAGCATACTTTTGATATTATTTAAATTTTGTCCTGGCATATTCATGCTAGGATACATTTAACTAACTAGTGACCTTATTCACAGATAGAAATGACACCTCACTTGATAAGTGTCCTTTGCAAGCTCATCAAAATGAGCTTCACACCAGAGAAGTGCAGGAATACATGAGAGAGAGAGAGAGAGAGAGAGAGAGAGAGAGAGAGAGTAGTACTATAGTATGACACGACAAGTACTACACTACTACTACTAACCTTACTTACTTTAACTTACTACTCCGTTCCCGTTTCCGGTTTTAGGGTTACT